TTCAGTGCAAAGTCTGGAGTCATTGCACAGAACCACGTCGTAATATGGCCCATTACAACTAGCCGTTTTATTAATACCATGTTTGCAAGAACGTCGTTTGATTACCACGCCTTTCGATTTTGTCAAGCAATCGCTTTTACAGGAGTCTTCCTTCCATTCACTCCAGTTATCTTCTTCACAATATGGGAGAGGTGGTTCGATTACGGGCACGCATTCTCCGCTGCGACATTCTTTCTCGAGTGCACAATTAGTTCCTGAAAAATTCAATAAATTAAAAACTAAAGTATCTAATTTGATAAAAAACATACCATCTAGCGCTGGTCCTGCGAAAAAATATTTATTCTCGTGAGGCGTTTCGCATTGTAAGACTTGACATATATCATGCAACGTGACTACGTTTGCATCTTTGTCTCGCAAAAATAATTCACATTGTGCTTTGGCGGTCCATTGTCTTCCCGGTAAATCATGATAACGCGAATGGTCCAATGCATTTGGATCTTCGGTGTTTTCTCGTCTCGTATGATCGAGAAGGCACTGTTTTGTTTTCCATAGTTCTTTAGTTACGTTACGACTACACTCGGACCAAGTTGTTTGGCCCAGTAGAAATAGTTTATCTGCCATCATATATTTGCCATTCTGACACGTCGAATCGATAGAGCCTTCATCGTGATTTATTCCTAATCTTTTGAACAAATAAGTTATTAATTTTGGAAAGATGCTTTATGAACAATATTTTTATATACTTTGTAGTTTTTAAGAAGTTTTACATTTTACTTTAATTAAAAAATTAATTCTTTATAAAACTTTTTCGTAGTTTTATATTTCAATTGCACAGATAATAACATTTTTATAAAAGATATCATTTATACCTAATATGTTTGTAAAAGTAATATACATAAACTTACACATGAGCGATTTCATGAGTAGCAGCACGAGACATGGCAAAACCCGAGAATGCGTTCTCACGTGTAGTACCGAATTCTACTATGCCGCACGAATAAGTCCGGCTTCTACATGATAAATTGACGTAAGACCGTCCCAAGGTATCATAATACTTCTGTTCGTTTTTCATCTCATAAAGATCTATTCCAGTTATGTAAAGGCCAATGTCCCAGTGCGGAATATAAGTCGTCGCGTATTCGCAGAACAAATTCAGGAGTTTATCACTGTCACCGTCGAAAACTGGCAAATTTAACGATTGTTCATTCATTACTAGCAATCTTATCAACGAAATATCAACAGGAGCACCAAAACTTGGATGATGGAAGAAGGCTTGAATTTGGTTCACGTATGCTAATATCATATTGCGTAACTTATCCTCATCATTGTCCAGAATAGGCATGTACATATTATATGCTGCTTCATCGAAGAAAACGACAAGTTCTATGATTAAATTCTTTTGCGCAATATCGCCGTTTTTCTCTTCAGAGATCATCGTTTTTGCTTCATCTCTAAGACATGTTTTTTCTTCCCAAAGTGTTTCCATTTTTTTACGACTATCCTTGGACCATGTAATATTCCTTTCCAAATCGCTAGAACTTCGCTCTGGTATAAGTCCTAAACTGTAGAACAAAATAATTATTAATCTTAAATATATGCTTTACTTAGCATTGTTTAATTAAAATATCTTTAAATGTCTTTTAATTTATTAATTGTTTACATAACAAACAATTAAAGAATAAAATTTTTAAAAATAATTTTTTACTTGTTGACTTATTGTACAATTGTACATTTAAATAAATTCTATTATAAAGTATTATGTATTCTTACATTATACGTAAAACTAGTTTTTAAAAACTTACAGTTCTCCGATCATCTTAATAGCAGTAAGAGGGTAATCGACTTCAGATTTGTCACGGAATTCTGCTATCGCGCATGAGAGAAGCGGTTTACATACGCCATTGAAATAAGCATATCCCGTAATCTGAAAATTCTTCTCATTTTTGTAATCTGTTTTAAATTTTACTATAACGTTTTCATAAAGTTTTATTCCGGTTAAGTAAAGGGCAATATCCCAGTGATAGGGATCATTATTGTTCGGAGAATTTAAAGAATTTGCGTATTTGCAGAATGAAGAGAGTAGTTCGCCAGCATTGCCGTCAGAAACTGACAAATTTGACTGCTCTGGTGTCAGCATCTTCAAACGTATTAAAGTAATATTTATAAAAACATCCAAATTTGGACGATTAAAGGCAGCCTGGATGCGATTCACGTACGCTAATATAATATTGCGTAATTTATCTTCATCATTGTCCAAAATAGACGTATTATATGCTGCTTCGTCGACGAAAACGGCAAGTTTCACGGTTAAATTTTGTTGCGCATTGCGTACGTGACGTCGCTTCTGTTTAAACATGTCCCAGTGGTAATGGTTTGAATTAGCAAAATATTGCATTGATTTTTTAATAACATAAGGCTTGCCAAATGAGAAATTTAATTGTCCTTTAAAATCATCGATTAAGCACACAGACGTAAACTCGTTTCGTAAGGGCCGAATCTCTAATGTGTTGTTTTCCATAATAACGTGTCCTTCCTAATTTAAAAAAAATATATTTTTTTTATGTGTTTCATTCTTGTAAAACAAAAAGTGGTACAGATGTCGAGTAAAAACAAAAATTTTAGAAGAATTTGTTTTTCATGTAATATTACTGACCAATCCATGTTCATAACAAAAGTCGATGGCCGCAGAGCTGATATGATCTTCATGATAATAAAAGCAATGACTTGATACGTTTAATTCAAATAATTTTTTTGCAACGCCCTTCGCATTATATTTCCATTTTCCGAACGCAGGCGATACAATTGTATCACTTCTGCGCAGATTCAGTTTAATCAATTGTCCAAAAACTTTCAGTGCTATTGGTATCTGTAAAATGGATGACAATTAAGAAAAAAATTTGATAATTCCCAAATAACGACGGTCGAGTAACAAATGGAATAATACCGTAAAATGCACGTACCTCCTCTACTCCTGTTGGGTTCGATGCCGGCAGTAATATTATTTCCATATCTCGCGTGAGATGTCCGTAAATTTCAATTAGTAAGATTATTATCAGAAATTTCGATATAAAGAACATATTATTTTTCAATTTTAAACAATTAATTAAATAAATTATATACACGCATTAGCACTGTTGCCTTCGTTATATCTGATATGATCGCAAATGTAATTCGAACTGACGCATGAGGAATATCATTCGTGTGGTGTGACACCTATTGAACATTCTCTGTTTGCTACATGTATATGTATAAATATTTATGTTTCTAAAACCTAAAGTACAGAAGTGGTATTAAAGATATCGGTTTAAGATATCGGTTCATGAAATGTAATTTATCAGTAATATGTATAATGTGTAACATTGATCGGAAATATAACAGTTTAATTTTTAATAATTTGAATTCAAAATGTTGATAATTAATGTTGGTATATAAAATTGTCGTTTATGCATATTCGTAATGTCTTGTAAGTTATTTTGAAATTCTGAGTTAATGGAGATCAAACGAAGAAAAGAAATAATTAAATAAAATTATACATATTGCGACAGACATTGTTGAGAATTAATATTTTTATACTTTTATTCTGTCCAATAAAATTTGTTAGTAGAAACTATTAAGAGTTAAAAAATATATATTGAGTAGTAATATTCAGTTAATAAATATATCGAAATCTATAACTTGTAACATCATTCGAACGTAATGTAAATCTGGCAATATGACACGCTCATAAGTGCAATAAAAGATTCTTTATTGGCAATGAATAATTTGAGAAATATCTAATCATGTGATACGTAGTTCAATACAATTATAAATATATATACAAGTATAAATATAGAGAAAGCAATATTTTGTTTAAATAATATATACAGGGTGTTCGATAATTGCTGAATCACCTCTCGAGTGCAGGTAGAGCGGGTTAAATCGAGTAGAAAAGTCTTCTATCTTTTTGCGATTTTCGCAATAATTAATGAGAAATTAATTAAAGAAGATCGGCCAATTTGCGCGAGTTTAAGAGCGCGGCGAGAAGAGACAGCCCGTTGTTACGTGGTCGCTAGGACGCAAGGATCTAGCGTTACACACCGTTCGTATGTGCTGTTGTCATTCATAGAGCACTCCTGCCAACGATT